TATATTTTATCATGCACATTGAATTCGTAATGATATTCTCAACAAAAAAGCTCATATCACCTTTCTTTCTAAAGTTGAAAATGAGGGAATTATATAGAAATAGTTATTTCTTTAAAGATACAAAAATTTTCTTATTTTTTGGCGAATAAAGAACTATAAAATATCGAGTAGATATTCAAAAACACCACCTTCTTATTGAATAGGACCCTTCTCTTGACACTACGTGTTGCTTGCAACACAATTCGGCCATCAATTCTATCTTCTATTCTATTATAGTTTCAATATAATTTTTCAGTTCATCTGCATTATTATGTCTTATTTAGTACACCTCATTTTGAGGAAATCCCTGTTGAAGCCAAGGATTAGCTTGATAATGTTATTCGCACTCTGCATCAGGCAAATCAATCTTTGAGAATTGGTTTGCTAAGTTTAAACGTGGTGAAATAAGCACCGAGGACAGTAAACGCCCCGAAGAGACTGTTACCGATGAAAACGTCAGCTATTGGAAACACTTTCCTCATACCAGAACAAAAATATTCTCTCTTGACACGCGTATCTCTAACTGAGTAAGCATCATCAGGAGATGACATTGTCAACATGCCTATACCACTTGTGATGCACTATCAGTAGTGAATATTGCTGGAGTTCTATCCCAACACCAAACCGTTATTTTCAACACTTCGACCCGTGTTTGAATCACCAAGTGATCGTCTTCAAGAGGAAGAGAAACCAGTTTAATCTTCCTCTTGAAGATGATTACTTGGTGATTGAAAAACGTGTCGAGATGTTAAAAATAACGGATTGATGTCGGTATAGAACTTTAGTTATATTCACACCTATACCAGTAAATTGATCTTTGGAGAATTGGAAGCTGTAATTTTTTCGGAGTTGTTTAAAATTCCAGTTAGGAGGGGGCTTAAAGGATGGCCTATTGTTGTAAATCATGCCCGAGAGGGCATGGCCGCCACTGGTAACCATAAACCAAACGTGACGTAGCTGAGAGCATGGGAATATCCAATGTTACCTGCCGGTCGAAAAGCAGCAAGAAACATGCTACCAACGTCGATAGAACTTCGGCGAAAATTCTACGATGTTCCATTGCGATATTCAAACGCTGGCTGCAAGCGCGTTCGGACAGTCAAGTACACAGTGAGGTGGACGTTACAGTGCGGTACGCGAAGTGATCTAGTAAGACATTAAAATAATACTTGAATTTTTTGTTGAAGTTTTTGTTGTATTTGAAGAGAAATAAAGTTGAGTTTGATTATTTAGTGTAGTCAATTATTGGTGAACCCACAGGTAAAGAACGTAACACTATTATGAAGCTTTCGTATTATTAAATTCGAAATAATTCTGGTTGAAACATACTGACAATAGTGAAAGGATATCAGAACACATGAATGGGTGTGTATGATATTTGAGAAGTATTTTATCTATAAGTTTGCAAGAATCGTCTGCTGAAGGTAATGCTTTGATAATAAATCTGTGACATCGAACGGAACCAATTTATAATCATGTGGCAGATCAATGTTGGAGATGCTTATTTTGTATAAGTTCTTTCGACTTTTCGATACTGAACGACGATAAGATTAATAACAATGAAACCTACACACACGTCTCAGTTACCGAAACGCGTCTAGAATGAAAATTTCGTTTGCAGAAATTATTACCATGAAAAGCAATAGAAATCTGCATTGTGGCTTTCAGTAATGATTATCTCTCACCTGCTATGTTGGCATAAGCCAGGGCTTGAGGTATAACCGTGAGGCCTACCGTTATCCCCGCTACCAAATCTCCTACAGCACATGAGGAATCGTACCTTGGTAGCCAATTGAGAATAGGCAGTCTTTTGAGGAGCATTTTTCGGGTACAAGCGTTTCGTGCTTTCGTTTTAGCCCATGGCATTATTGATTTTACAGCTTCCACGGCGGAGGAACTTTTTTTGGTATTATCTATCACTGAAAAAAAAAGAAACAACTGTTATTTAATTGAAGAAGATAACTCAAATATCAGTTTTAGAATATTACAAATTGTTCTTTTCTTTCCACATTAATTTTTCTTTATCACCGCATTTACTTTTTGGAGTATAGTCTGTTTTGCCGTAGTCTGTACATTCATGAATAATTTTTCATACAAAAAGTGATTGAAAACTCGTGCAACGCACTCAAATAAATGAAAAGAAAATAAACTAGTTTAAAAATATATTTGTTATTATGCATCATATGAAACGTGTTAATGTTGCATTTCTGTTCAAAATATTGATGATACTTGTATACCGGATGAGTAAAATTTTAGAACGAAGGAGAAAGGAGAAAACTGTAGAGGTAAAACCTACAAAGTCAGTTGAATTGGAGAGAAGCTTCCTATTCTGGAGAACAGGCATAATATCTTTTCAGATCAAGAATATCAGTGGTTGTTTTTAAAATATTCGTCAAAAACTAGAATTGTCGAATTTCGTCGCGTTCCATTTCGAATAATATAAAATGAAGGCAGAGGAACTTTCAATACTGTTCCATATTATATGACCATACAGTGATGATGTGAAAAACTTAGAGAAACACATTTTTTGATATACATTTGTTATTTCAGTGGCTACAGAAATCGAAGAATAAAAAATAGGGTTAACTATAATAATTTTTCCGATAAAAGGTTAGTTGGGTAACAGGATCAATTTTTTCAAAAAAACAATTGATTTCTTGCCGACGTTTCGAATTCAATTAAATTCTTCTCCAGGACTCGAAAAGTTTTTTTCATGTTGATAATATTACTATTTTAAAAACCCTCAGATATATTAGATACATATTTAAAAAAAACATTGCAATAACCAAATTTCCGAGGCAACACCAACACAAAACGACATGAAACAAACGTTTTTTTCATGTCGTTTTGTGTTGGTGTCGTTTAATGAAACAAACGTTCATTTTATGTCGTTTTGTGCTGGTGTTGTCTCGGAAAATTGGGTGTTGCAATGTTTTTTATTTTTTTTTTAATGTATCTAATATGTCTGATGGTTTTTAAAATAGTAATATTATCAACACGGAAAAAAACTTTTCGAGCCTTGAAAAATGATTAAATTAAATTCGAAACGTCGGTAAGAATACAATTGTTTATTAAAAAAATTGACCCTGTTACCTAACCAACCTTTTTTCAGAAAAAAAATATGGTTCTGTATTTGAAAACAGGAAGTTGATGATGTTATCTGATGAACGAAACGTGAGTTCGTGCACGTGCGTTCAGTTACACTTGATTTGTAGTGTCTTATCGAGCATCCTGTATATCATTTAAATAACTTATTATCGATGAACAATATATTATTAATGCATATAGGTGTGGAACTATATGCAAATAGTATTTTTCCAAATGAATGTGAAGTCAAAAGAGAACTTCAAATTGACAGTCAGTGAAAACTTCATGGAAAATAAAATATCCCACTTGTGAACCGGAGCCTTATAAATAATATCCAACTTTGGTTCATAAAGCAAGACCCCTTCCACCTACATACTCTCCTGTAAAGGAAAGAACGAGCCATTGGTACTTACCAATAAAATCATTACTTCCCAAGTAGGTTGAATCATTTCTATGTCTAAAACTTATATTATCTGATGAGGTGCTGAGAGCTGCATTGTCGTATGATAGGGATAGATAAGTACCATTTGTACCACCACCTCCTGCACCCTGTACATCTCGATCGGCTTTCTGGTGTTGGCTCCTGGAAAAAAAATTTTATTGAATTATTTTTTTGTATCATAGTTATGAAAGTTAACAGAATTATTATTTTTTTGAGAAATTAAAATAGAATGATTTATGAGCACTCGTTCATATCTACGATTTTTTTTGTTTTTTCAAACAACTCAGTATTCGAACTAAAATAACAGAATCAAAATATAATTTTTATCGTTCCTTTCAGATTCACATAATGAAACGCTAATCAGGAATATCCTCAACAATTTTAACAAATCCCTGGTATAAGTCATAGAAAAAGTATAGGAAATGCAAGAAATGTTCTTCAGTCATTCGAATGATTTACGACGCTCAGAATGATATATGTCACTAAATGACTTCAACTCGTCAAATAAACGTTGAAATGATATATAATATTTCATTCATGTACTGAAAAATGATTGTTTATGTACCTGAATGATGGGTAAATATGAGTACAAAACAGGTATTGAAAGTCACAGAGAAATTCCCCAACATTATTACAATTTTTCAATTTGGCATTTTTTGAACCATTTTTTAACTTGATTCAAATAACGTAAACAAGCCAAGACACATTGGGATTTTGAAAACTGAAGGAGTCATGATACTGATAGCTTTTTTGTAATATAAAAAATTTAAGATAGTACATCATGCCGAATTTCGAGTCCTAATGAGAGCATTCGAAATATAAGTGCCTGTACCTACACTGTTGAAAGAACAACCACATAATTATATTTGTTATGTCAACAGTTAGGTATAACTCATCCTTATTAACCCACACATAAGTTTAGATTAATGTACAATGACTCGGCATTTTGAATTTTATTAGTAATAAACAGAAGCATAGGAAACCAATGTTTTTTTAGGGATTGTGGAAAATCATCTATATGGAGTATGAGATGATGAGATGGGTACCGAATTTAAACCTTGAGGTAACCCAATATCAATGGACCTAAAATCGTTTCACATGCTGATATCTGCTAATATATGAGGCAAACTAATCAAGTTTGACAACTCTCGACACCGTATCTTTCTAATTCATGTATGAGGATGTTTTGATTTACACGATCTAATGCTTCAGAGTTTTGACTAAAGTTTAGAGAAAAAATTTCTGTTAAAACTGCAATCATCAACAAAAATTTATTTCATATCCAGGTTTTCATTTTCAGTACACTTATACCTATTCCTTTTTTGTTTGGAGAAAATGATAATACCAACAAATAAAAATAAAAAAAAGGGAGCAGAAAATAGTAGAAATAATGTCACTCCAATGCTTATCAATTTCATCAGGTTATTTATTGTCAGAAATAGGGAGAAGCAGACTTTAAAGAATCCATAACGTTCCTCTAAAGAGTTAACAAGTGACTTGCTGTATACAAAGGATTCATATGTTAATGTTCTGAATATATTTCTCTATGTGAATTGAAGGGGTTATATTTTTAGGAGTGATTAATTTTTGGGAAAGAAAGTTTTTGGCTTTCTACTACTCCATCTGATACAAAAAAAGGGGATGAGAGAATCTTCCAAAGATAGGAAGGAAGTAATAATTTGAAAATAAGTATAGCTGTTTCAGGAGGACTTTTTTTCAGTTTGTGTTTGAAAGTTACTTCTTTGCATGATCTACACATCCATGTATAGAGTTACTCATTTTCAAATTATTACTTCCTTCCTATCTTTGGAAGATTCTCTCATTCCCTTTTTTTGTATCAGATGGAGTAGTAGAAAGCCAAAAACTTTCTTTCCCAAATTTCTCTATGTGTTAATTTATATCGATTATACTACCAAAAAATTTCAAATTGTTTATTGCCTGGAATATTTCAAACTTCCTGACAAACTGTTGAATGCTTGATAATATGTTGTATGAGAATTTGTTCTCTGAGTAGATTGTGGGTTATTTAGCCAAAAAATATAGTGGAACATTCAAAAAGGTTGAAACTGACTTATTCTATTCCATTTGTGATAACTGTTATCACCCGAAGACGATTGTGGATACCAACAATCGAAACGTCGTGACATAACTTGGTTTGGAATCTTAAAATTTTTCATTTTTCATTTTTTGTTAATAATATTTTTTAATTTTCAGCTTTTATTATTTTTTCAATTTTTATTTTTTTGTTTGTTGCTTGTATGTTATTTCTTTGTAATTACAGTTTTTCGTTATTTTCGGTTAATCAATCCTTCAAGCAATTTTTGGCTTGTATTTTATTTCACTGTAATATCCTTTCAGGGTTTTGTTTCTGCTTAATATAATTGTTATTTTCAGCTATTCATTTTTGATTTTGAATTATATTGGTTCTTTCAGGAATTTCAAATCATTTTATGAAATTGAAACATGTGATATTTTCTGAAAGTAAATCTTGTGATGATCAAATCGTTTTCAACAAAGTATAATTTGGCAAGTTCTTGCTGAAATAAGTGGAAAGTACAAAGTGAGTTTAATTTGTACTGATTGAGTAACCTGCACTTAAACCATCTGACAATTTTAATTGAATCTCCCTCAACCTTGTATTTCAATTCTTTCCAAGTATATGCGAGATATAGTACGGTTGTATCATCAGCGAAACTAATAATGGTACCTTCTGAATTGACACTGAACAAATCATTCAAGTAGATATTGAATAGGAGAGGCCCCAATACCGTTCTTTGGGGACCCCATACTCTATGGTATAGTAAGAACTGAATGTTTCATTCAATTTGGCGCACTGTTTCTTACCAGAGAGATAGCTTTCAAATAATTTCTGCGATGTCCGTCGGAAACCGATGTTTTCTATAACCTTTATCAGTTTCTTATGTGAAACCATATTAAAAGCTTTGACCAGAGCAACAAAGACATAAAGACATGGTATACCAGTATCCATCGAATCGTAAATTTCTCTCATTAGGTGAATAATTGCATCTCGTGTTGAACTGACCTCTCGAAATCCATATTGATTGACATATAGTATTTTGTATTTATTTAAATATTTGTCTATTCTTACTTTTAGTATTTTCTCAAATATTTCAACTATATGGCTGATTAATAATATAGAACGAAAATTCATTACCTCTTTTTTATTTCCAGATTTGAATATTGGTTTGATTTTCTAAGTTTTGAAGGCTTCTGGAAAACTATCGATGTTCATGGCTCTATATATAATATGAGTAATTGGTTTACATAGGTAGTCGACGAATTCCATTAGAGTTTCAGACCTGATGTTATCAAGACCTGGTAATTTACCTTAATTCAGATTAATAATTACATTTTAACCCTCATGTTCATTGGTGTCTTCTAAGAAGAATGAGTTAGATAATTTTTTTTCCACAATTTTGATTTCTTTCTGACTGATGGACCCAGCCAACTTTCCTGGTGAAAAATATTCAGCATTTTCCTTATCATTTGTTAGGTGTATTCCATCATTCGTTTTGATATTTTTCATTTTATTTAGCAACTGAATGCATAATAATTTGATGAAATATTCAAAATAATTATTCTCGAAAGCATTTGTTTGAAAACAACAGTTTCGAAATAATGGGATTCTTAGCATGTGTTTCAAAATCCAATCCGTTGAATAGGTCTAGTGTTAAACTCTGGTCTTTAATGCTTCGAGGGAAATGATCGTTAGAAAATATTTATGTATACGATATAGAAAATAACTAATTTATACTAGGATTGTTATTTTTTACGACCGGTTGCGGTACATTGAACCGAAACAAATGATAATCTTGGTCTACGTCTCTGTCTAAATGAATTCAAGTAAAATTTGAACACTTATACGAAACGTCAACACGTGTTTTACAATATAACAGCTTCCCTAGGAGTATTCATTTTAAACTGTACTTCATTCATGTTTGATATAAAGCACTGATTAGTTAGAATGAACACCCTTGATGAATCTAGTGTATAGTGAAACAATTATTATTGTTCCACAAAAAAGTGTAGTTTGCATATAAGTTTTGAAAAATGGTCACTTGTGATGTGATAATTGGAATACTAATTGGACTGATGAGGTATTACCTAATCCTTATCAAATTGAATAAGTTAGTAACCGCGAACATTTCATGTACATGATAGATGATGGTCCCACCCGGCATCTCCCGGTGAGATACCATTGTAACGGCTCAGGCGGCGTGAAGTTGCTTCGGGCTAACGTTTCGTTGCTGTGCCGCTGTTTCCGGTTTCGAGGGTGGGAATATAGGGAAATATCGCATGATGGCTCTACTGGGATCAAAAATCTCCGGAGGTAAAATAGCTCTCCAATTGGATCTCCGGGTGTGGGCTGATTCGAGGGCAACATCCTGCAGAAGTTATTCAAAAACCAATATTTTTGACATCAGTTTACAGGGAAATAGCATGGTAACTGCAGTTGCTGAAAGGCCCACTAGCAATTTTAAAATCGATTTTTGAAACATCAGAGGACTCAACTGAAATATAAAGTCAGTCAAACAAATAATCCTCATATTCTTGCCCTCACAGATACCAAAGCCAGTGCTTCAACAAACCCCTTCAATTTTCTATATCCCAGCTATGATTTCCACTTCCGAATCAGACGTAACTTTGGAATATTTTTTTTATCAGAAGCGAACTCTCCTGTCAACGGGAGAAAATGTTGGAACACCAAAACTTCGATGTGATGTGGTTCAAAATATTATCACGAAAAATCACTAAATGCATATTCTGCGTGTATCGACCACCAAGTGATATACAATATAGGACACTACTCTCTTTACTTGCAATCACCATTGACTTTTTGCAAATCAATCATTCACATGGCGAAATTTCCATATTCGTTGACTTCATTGTCAACAATATTGAATGGCTCGAATTTTCAAATATCAACGACGAACAAGATCGCGAAGCTGAAGCTTTTCCAATACGCAACGGACTTACTTAGATTAGATAAAAATGAGCCGATCAGGATTCCTGACCGTGATGGAGAATACGCTAGTCTTCTGGAAGTATACCTAAGAACCAATCCAGAAATTTACACCCCTTGAGGTTTCCATTGGGATCTTCTGACCACAAACTTATTT